ATGCTAATGCCTTAGGTTGCTCAGAGTACACAGGCTTCACAATTTACTTAACTGTGGCCACTTCTTCAGCAGCCTTGAACCCTGATTGTTACTGTGCCTCTCCCAAGATTAAGTCCAGCATGCAACTGCATATTTATGTACACTTCTGTGCAGGGGAAATGACCTTTTAATCTCCTAGAAACTCAGGGACCTGACATGCTCTCCAGATTCCCTTAGAAATAAGAGATAAATGATCACTTAACTGCTGAGGCTTGCACTGGGACCTGTAGGTTGGGCCAGGCCCCTTGGGCCAGGCAGTTGACAGCTGCTATGACACTGAAGTGCTCCTGGCACTGCTTAGCCAGCAACATTTTAAGGCCACAGCTAGATCTACTCAAGTCAGTAGCAAGGAGGCCAGGATAATGAGCTTCACTTGTTAGTGGTTACCACCTTAGTTTTAAAAAGCTTCCAACCCGTCACATTACTGTGCTTTTGTTTTTCATCAAAACTAAAGGACCACTCACACTTTGTATTGCTGAAGAAAGTTGTACTTTGCATTGCAACATCCTCAAAGTACGTGCACTGGCAATTAGTAGAAGGAACAGTAATTTAAACTGCTCAAATTATAGCTGATTCTTAGTGACTTTTCTTTGTCCTCCCTTTCCTGAAAAGCTCAAATTGCATCAAACCTGATGGGCTCCTGGAGTTCACAAAGAAGCTGGAAGGCCACATCCAACAGAGAGGGGGACAGATTCAGTTCACACATCTCCGCCTCTTCCAGAATTGGCTGGACCAGGATGCTGAAACAGCTCAAGAAGCTCTTCGGCGTCTCAAAGCTGTGTGCAGTGTGGTCAATGACTCGTGGGACTCCTCCCAGGCCTTTGCTGACTACATCAGTGTCATGTGATGGATGCAGGAGCAGGAGCAAACCTATCAGCTTGAGCCTAGTGGCCAATATGGTTTATTTCACAGCGCACATGGGGTTTTCTTCCCCTGATTCAAGCAAGGTAGAGTTGTTCTTGTCACTTTTGTATTCATTTGAAGAAGGTGTACCGCAGTGAAGTGTCACACAAGACTGTGTGGGCCCACGGCTGTATTTCCAGGTGATCTAACTCTACCAAGGTCTTCTCAGTTTTAATATTTTAAGTGGGACAGATACCAGATGAGCTTCTGTGACTTCCTGCAGTCTCGGGGCAAGCAGTTATTTATTTCACTGTGTGTTGTTGCAAATTTCACATTGTTTCAGCCAGTGTCTCATCAGTAGCTATCTTCATCATTGGAGAGACTCAAAAGCCATCTGGTTGTGGTCCCAGTGCTAGGTGACCTTGCTTTTCAGCAGGGGCATTGGACACTATGACCTTGAGGTCCCTTCCAACTTCAACCATTCTGTGATCTGTGAAATAAGAACTCCTCCCTCCACTTAAAGGGAGTAGAAAACAAGCTAAAAAAGCCCCCACCCTTGACCTTTACATTTGGAAAATTTTACTTTGTATTAAAAAAACCCAAAAAACAAAAACCAACTTTATGTACCAAGGAGCCTGCTGTTTATTTGCAATCCTGTTGCTGCTCTCCAGTGTCTGCAGTCATTTTACAGAGGTTTTGGCATAGTTTGGTTTTTTGTAACTTTTTTATAATAAAAATATAATTAAGACCCATAATGTACCAAAGTGTGAATTTTATTACTGGCTTGTAATGTGATCTAATTAAAACACTCTGCTAGATCAGGGGATCCTGCCCATAACAAAGCACGTGGTTTTAGAAATGGCGTTACCTTAATAGAGCCTGATTTCCTACTGCCTGCATGATCTTTCAGGCCAAATGTTCAACATACAAGCTGAATTTATTTTTTTTTCCCTGTGTACAAATCCTCTTGTTCCTGGGTAATCAGCAAGGTTCACATTTCACAACAGAAATGGATCCTGTGACTTTCTGAGGAACAGCTGTAAGCCAGAGCTGTCAAGGAAAAAAAAAAAAACAAACCCAAAAAAAACAAAAACATGACTGTGCACATCAAGTGCTTTAAAACTGCAGGCTTAATTTAAACCTGAAGACAAAACTTGGCTGAGAAGGCACAGACACCAACAGCGTGAGAACCAGTGCTGAATCTGATCAAGCGCACAAGGTCCAGTTATTCCCAGTTCCCAAAGGGCTGTTCTTCAGGCACACAATAAAACAGCAGAGACAAAGACATGGACACCTTGCTGTTGCAGCAGACTGACAGATGCTAAGGGCCTTCCAGCCTCTCAGAAACCACGCTGTTCTGCCATTTCACAGCCACACAGCCACCCAGCATGTTCTGCTACCCACTGCCCCTTTCCCTGAAAGGGATTAAAGTGGGGCGGACTGCCACAGCAGCCTGCACTTGCCCCCACAGGGGACAGGAAGCTGTTAGGGAATCTCTCGTTGCTCCTCGTGGGAGTGATGATGAAAGGTGAAGGTGACGGTGGCATCCCATGCAGCCTTCAGCACAGAGTCCTGCAGCCCTCGCTTATCAGCACAGTGGTTCCACTGAGAGAGGTCAGAGGTACAGTCAGACCCTTCCGGAGGGGGCCGTACCTGGTGGCCGTTCACACAGCGACGACACTTGATCCTGGAACAGAGCCAACGCAAGCTCAGTGCAAGGTTCCTCCACTTCTTCAGGGTACGGGTTGTTTAAAAAAGGCAGCCCAGTAACATTCGGACTAACTCCACTTCACCTGCAACACTGGCAAGTGGATTTTCAGACAGCATTAATTACTACCACATTTCATTTAAACACACAACCACGTTCTGGCATGTGCAACAGATAAGGAATGACTCTCACATTTTGGAAACCCTGGGGGGGTTCTGTTCCTAATGGCACTCCCCCTCCATGTTTAGCCATGTAGGAATGGTCCAGCAGGACCCAGAGAAAGCTCAGGAGTTTGCCCTGAAAGGTGAGGGATGTCGCTTAGATCAGAACTCAAGGGACCACCCCTACTGCTAACACATTCTTAGCACTGTGTCAGGCTTCCCAAGTTCAAGAGAGCACATCGAGCTCCAAACTGCTGCATCCTGGCTCCCACCACGGCCACCAGGTTGTGCTCAAGTTGTTTTGGAGATGCTCTACTGAGCTGCCACATAAGGAGACAAAAAGCAGCAGCAGCCCTGCCAGCAAAGCTTGTTGCCATGCAGACAAGATACCCACACAGAGCTAAGCTTTGAGTCAGCTTAAAACTAATCCTCTTCACTTCTTGCCTGAACTAAGAGTCTTAACTCTCACAGTGAAGAATTTTCTGGCGCTCCCTGTCCTCTTTCTGGTGGCTGCAATACCACTGCTCTCAGGGCTGAGGGAAAAGGGCAGACAATGGAGAGAGGGTTCTTTTAGTCCCCAGAACAGCACTTGGGTTGGCCTCATGGCCTCAGCAGAGTAACCCTGGTAGCGGAAGCAGCTCCATGTTTGGAGATCACAAGGCACCAGGAGGTGAGCGATAAGGAAGGACCACAATTTGAACAGCTCTGATCAATTTTTTTTTCTTTTCCTTAGCTGCAGTATTTCACATCCTGCAAACACAGGCCGCAACAAGATAGTTTGCTCAGTTGTCCAGCCAGTACAGCTTTTCTAAAGACAACAAAAGGGGAGGATGGCAAGTACTTGCTTACCTCCAGGTGGTTATAACAGCTTCAAAAGCAGAGACCCTTGAGGCCCTCACTCTCTGAGCTTTCTCCTGCTGCCTGAGGAACTCCTGAATCAGTAGCCCAGACTGCAAAGGGTTTTTTTTGCTGACCCCATCCATTAAGTCACTCAGTATACTCACTTGTCGTGGGTGTCACTGGTGGTGGTCTCATTCAATGTGAAAAGCTCCTTCAACTCCCCAAGTGAGAAGTGCCTTTCTACATCCTGCTCTTCATCCACTACGCAGCTGCTGAGGGCCTTCTTGTGGGTCTGGCGCTGGAATATCTTCTCCTCTATGGTCCCCGTCTACAGGAGAGAGAGTCAGAGATGAAGCACAGTTGGGGCACTAGTGTTAAAGGAGCACTACATTGGGAAAGTGTCACAGCTCAAACAGCAGCAAGTTGTCAGGACCAGCTGGTGCCTTGCCAGACCAGTACAGATGACAGGCAAGTTTCACTAGCTGCACTCCAACCATGTCCTGTTTGATTGCTGATCTAATCCAACTCTGCTTCTTTTGTCTTTCACCGTGGCTACAGGAGCAGATCCAACAGAGACATGGATGAGGAAGAGGTAGAGCTGCCACTGCAGAGCTCACACACAGCACCAGGTTGTGCTGACAGGAAGGAAGGGAAATGAGCTGAGCAGCTACAGCCACTCACTGACAAAAAAACCCAAACACAACCTTCCCCCAAAAAACAGCAGCAAGGGCTAGCCCTGGACAGCAGCATCAGCAGTATTTGCTGGTTCACCCACACACAAGATCAATCACACCCACTGTCTGGAGGGACATGATTACTTCTAGAACAGATGAGCAGAAACCCCAGTATGCTACATTTTTAAGGCAAAAATCTAAGAGCAAAATGTCTGTTTTGCAAACAAAGGAGGGCAGTGATTAGTCACGATTTGCAGACTGGTTTCCTAGTTCTAAAAGCAAAGGACCTCCCTGCTTCCCGGCGCAGCCAGGTCAGATAAAAAGTGGAATGGTATTAAAGGAAAAGATGGGCAAAGAACATGTTTTGTCAAAATAAACTGTTACAGTAGCCTGAAAAGACTCATCTCCTTCATGCTTTTCTTTACAGAGTAGCTAACCCCACCTGCTAACTGGTAGTCCCATTCCAAAAGCTGCTGTAATTCTGGGAATGTACTTGCTGATTATTAAGTACATGTACGCCCAACCAAAACAGACTGCAGCCAGACTGAAAAGCAGCAACTTCAGCATCAGACACCCCATGAAATTAAAGTCAGATGCCCAAATGACTTCAAAGGAGCATTGCGGGGACAGTGGTTCAGGATGGCTCACTTAGCAAAACTTTAGGCCTCAGGCTAAGCCTGAACCACTGTCCCCGCAGAGCATCTTATCTGGAAAGCCACAGTTTCTTTTTCTCAGAAGTCAGTCATGATTAGAAACCAAGGCCTGCAGTAACAGCTCTCCAGCTTGAACTTCCATTTTTTTTCCACGGCAACACATCTAAGAGTAGGAAGCAATTAAGTTCCAATCAATTCTGGTCACCAACACAAAAGAGTTCTTCCCCTTCTGGTCCCAGTCACAGCAGCAGCAGTCTGGGCTGGCACCAAGAACTCCGTGTTGAGGAGGGGAGATGAGTAAGACTCACCGAAAGCAGTCGATAGATGTAGCATGTCTTCTTCTGGCCATCCCGCCACACACGAGCCATGGCCTGCTCATCGTTAGCTGGATTCCAGTCTGGGTCAAACATGACCAGTCTGTTAGCTCCGATCAAATTCAAACCGCAGCCACCTGCTTTGCTGCTCAACATGAAGATAAACTCAGGGCTCTGTGGAAAAAGGCAAGCTTGGATGAAACTACAGAGGCAGCCATACTTTTACACACAGCACTCAGAAATGGCAGGTGAGCTGCTCACATCTGGCAGGTTCTACTCACCGAGGGACTGTTGAATCGTTCCACAATCTTCGCTCTCTTTTTAATGGACATAGTGCCATCCAGCCGGACATATAAATATCTAGAATATACAGCATTTACTACAATCAGACTGCTGAGAGCTTTAGAGCATCCTACTTGAAAGAGAAAAATCTTTCAGAAACAGCCTTGTAACAAGGGCCTGAGCTTTAGCAGCTTTTGCAGAGAGCCAAGACTTTGCTGCTGAGGGACCCCAGTAGCCAAAGCATAAGCCACATCAGTTCTAATTCGGGAACATCTGAAGTAAAAGACATCACAAGTTCCCGCTGATAGAAACTTTAAAAATAGCCAGTTTCTTTTACAGTGTAGACTGCAAGTACAGTCTTGCAGGATTAAACAAATGAAGCCCAAAGACAAACCTTCTGTTCCTGCAGAGCTTTTCAAATAGGTCCAGTGTCTGAGTGTAGTTAGACACTAAAACCACCTTGTCGTTACTGGTGCTTTTCGTAACAGCAAGGATGTAGTCCAAAACCAGCATCTTTCCTGGATAAAGGGGAAAGAAAGAAGAAAGCTAGAGCAGAAGTTCCCGAATTCAAGACCTTGGAGAAGCACTTGATGAGATGCTGAATATAGTCTCATGGTTGCCTGTATTGGCAGCATGTTTGTACTGTTGAGTTCCACAGTACCTGAAAGCTGGGGCTCCACAGATTTGGTGCTGTAGCCAGCAGGGAACAAGTCCAGGGCTCCCATAAAACCTTCTTCCTCCTCCACACACTTATCATGGATAAGAGCAGGGTCTGGAGAACAAACAGACCTCAAAGACTGTGGAGTGCATGAGGGAGTTACAAAAAAAACACCACCAACAGTGCAAAACCCAAACCCATTGCATGAGTGGAACAACTCACGATTGCAGAGCTTCTTCAAAGAAGTGATGGAAGAGAGAGAGGATACACTGATTTTGCCCTCCTTCAGCTCCTCCACTGGCTTGGCTTGCTTCAGGAAATTCTTGTACAGCTCAGCCTGCAGAGGTGTCAGTCTGAAACAGAACAAGAGCCCTGCAGTCTCAGCCTGCATGCAAACTAACCCCATCCTTCCTCCTCCATCTACACAGTGCATTTCTTTTAGCCCGATTTTTTTTAGCTATAGCACGGACAGCCTAGAACGGCCTCCAAGGCTGACGGTAGAGCATTGATATCTCAGCCCAGAGCCAGAAAAGTAGCTTGCAGATACTCTACACAGCCCAGGGCTCTGCTGTACACAGCTGCCCAGAGCAGGCCAGCTGGCTGGCAGAACCACCGGTTGTGGGTTGTCCATCCTTGCTTCAGGAGGGAAAAGCAACATATTGCCTGTGGCTACCATCTCACTCCTACAGGGAAGCAGTCACCAGAAGCACTGAAGGGCTTTTTGCAACTTTATGGTCCCTCCTGTTGCTCCTCCCATTTCCCAGGCAGACTACATGCTTTCTGGTACCTGCAGCAGACCACCTGCTCTATCTTCACTGGCAGGTATTTGGACAGGATGTCTGAAGTTCTTCGGATTAAACACCTGCAGGAAGGAAAATGAAGATCAGATGCTTGGATGACATCAAAACCCTCTTTATCATTCCTCATGAGCTCAACACAAAGTCCCTTTGATATTTCACCTCCAAAAGTCTGTGACAGTCCAACACATGGCAAAGGCCAGACACCCACCATCCACGCAAAGCCACGCTAAGAGGCTCCATCAGCCCATGCTACAGAGCCCAATACAACCCAATGTCTTTATGAGGCTTCCAAATTTGGTTCCTGAGATTTGGAGGGTCAGGCATGATTTCACCTAACAGAGCCCAGTCCCTTATGAGAGAAACTCAGCTCTTCCTCAGACTACCAATGGCATTCTCAACATGAGCTGCAACAGACCAGTGGCATGGACAAGATTTAACCACCACACATCATGGACATAAACCAAAGTACAAGCAGGCAGCTCCCTACATAATAACTTAGTAGACATCCTCAGCCAAGATGGGTTCATTGTCTGGTCCAAGATTTCTGCAAAGGGCATAATATTGTTTGGGGCTCTAGAAATGCCACATGGAGCAGTTCTACCACACTTCAGAAAAGATGGGATGGACTACAAAAAGTGCTGAATTGAGGAACCAGAATAAGAAAAAGGTGCAGAAACCCAGTTCTGCCAGGAAACATCAAAAAATATGATGTTATGAAACCTATAGAACAAAGACAGCAAGGATATATGACAGCCCCAAAATCTGTCAAAGGCTGTTAAGAAAGGAATAATCTGATCTCCAAACCCATAAGCAGTAGGATGAAAAGTAACAGGCTTAAACTGGAGTAAGGAAGATTTATGCTACACATTAAGAACATTTTCTAACTGCAAAGACAGCGATGCCCTGGAAAAGGCATCCTGGGGAATTTGTAAGGTCTTCAGTGCTGGGTGGGGGCTAAGTAAGGGATGGTTTAGGTCTAACACGTTCTACCTGGAGACAGAAAGATGAATTAGATGCCTTCTCTGGAGCCCTTCTAGTCTTACGCCTATGATCCCACGTATCTTTTCATCACTGTCTCATTTGTAATTCGTACCATATTCAACAGATTCATCTGTTGCTACTTACGTGCTTCATCTTCCCTATTTGTGCACCATGACTGCTGCACAGTAAAGGAAAGGACACAGACCTCAGCACAGCCAGGCACGAGCATTCCTGAACACACTTTTGCACCCCTTTGCCATCAACTACAAAAAGAAAGAAATGCACCTCAAGAAGGAACAAGCTCTTCTCCTCCCAACCTTTCTTTTCTCTTAGACTTCTGCAAATTGACCTGAGTCAAGGTCAGGACTGTCTCTATGGAGAGGCTGTATTCAGTGTGAAATTCAATTTATTATGACCATGAACTGCAGGACTGTACTTGTGATGGTTGCAAAAGCTCAGATTAAAACAAAGCTCAGATTAAAACAAACAAACAACCCACCCAGAAATGAAGACACCAGCAATGCTGAGAATTCAAAAGAGTCTCTAGTAAGAGTTCTCTGAGAGATCACGATTGCCTGCAGATTAGGATAAATTGTTTGTATCCATGAAGAGAAAAGCAGCCATGCTTAAACATATACCAAAAATCAACCAAAGAGAAATAGGACAGCATTTTACATCGCAGAGGTGCTTCTTGGGGATCAAAAGTCACATCTCTGACACTAGTAGTCTAATCCCATTAGGCCTACAGACCCAACACTGCTATGAAAGCGTGAGCTGGATTCTTCTGATTTGGGCAATCCAACAGCAGAACAGAGCAATATTCCTTATACTCTTTCTGTCTGCCACTCAACATCTCGGCTGGATGGATCTCAAGTCTGACCCAGTCTACACTGCAGTTACATTAACACAAATAAAAGAATGCTGCCTGACTATTCAGATCCCAGGAGAAAACAGAAACGCAAGAGTCAAATCATGATTCAGTATCTGAGTACATTTGCTTGGGGGTGACTGCAGCTAACTGTGCCATGTCAATGTGCTATGTTTCAAACTAAAGCTACATGCTATGTAGATTTCTTAGGCAATAAATACTTGCACAATCACTTGCTGAATAGACATAACTGGCAAGAGAATTCATTACAGCTACAACTGTGATTTGGAAAGATACTAGTGTTCACCAAGGGTTTATGCAAAAGCCCCGCAAAGAGGGATGAAGTTCACCTGTTCACAATGCTGATCAGCTCTTTAAGCCGCTCTTCTCCTTTGTGTCGCTCAGCTTCACTTGCATCCGCATCTCTGCCTTTCAAGATGGGAATTTCAAAATGTCTTTTAAATTCCTGTGCTGTCCCTGTACAAAACAGAAGCAAAAAGGTGACAACTACTACCAAATAACCTTTGATCAGTACCCCACAGTCCCAGTTATCATACCACAAGCATGGGGCCCAGCAGATAAAACAAATTCTCGCCCCATCATTACAATTTGTTTTTCTTTCTAGCAAGGGAAGATTCAAACAATGCAGGCAAGTCTGTAGAACAGAAAATCACGTTGTGCTCAAACAACAAGGTACTGCCAAAGGTCATACAATTTTCGTTAAACCTGAGTCCAGGCAGGCATGTACTGTTTTTGCTTACATTCCAGCTGTACTTTTACTCACAGATTTTGTCCTTGCAAACAGCAGCACAGGCATTATGTGTGCCTGTTCCAAAATGATCTGTAATCAGTTGCTTATTACTAGTCACAGGCTGAAAGAGGGGAAAAATGACTACTGCTTGCTGGCAGTAATTACAGCATTAACCTCAACTCAGAGAGAACAAACTGGAAGTGCAGGGAGGCTAGTCTTGCCCAAAGTACAGGTCAAGGAGGGCAGGTGAAATCACATCAGCTCCCTGTAATAACTACCCAAAACTGAAGCACATGTAAAAAGCAGATGAGAACATCTACCATCCCATCCCATCCTTTCCTTGAGGAATCCTGGGGGCAGAACAGCTGAACAGAAAAAGACAGCCCGAATGCTGCTTGTAGGACTAAGAATCTGATGAACGGTGTTTAACTAGACTTGTGCATGCACTAGAATTAACGAGAAGCCCCTTGGGCTAGATGCCAAACAATCTTGAGGCAAACATAGGTGACGAGTTAACAGCAACAAGGACATGATTTACAGATCGGTTTATTTTCATTTCTTGACAGAAAAAATTACCTCTCTTAACAAAGCCAAGCTGCTGCTCCTGGATAAACAGTAGACCTGCTCCTAACCCAGTGACGCAGGAAAGGATGCAAAGACTACTTTGCTTTTAAAATAAAAACAGAGCTTGCAGACATAAGCAGAGCATAGCAGCCAGAGACAAAATATGTCAAGCTGCTACCAGTAATTGTAGAGCGTAAGTCCTGAAAGTATTTCAGGATCAGTATTTCTCCTCCAGACTCTTTTCTTTCTATCTCAGATGAAGTTAACCCCATATTCACAGGCCTCCCATGCCTTAAAAAACAAGCAGTCTTAACTCCAAATGCTAGACATCACCCTCAGCTTTCTCTCAGATTATCTGAAAGTGGGATGGCAGACTGCCAGAAATTCAGGCTTTGTTGCCTAACTCTGCCACAAGGTACACTATTCCACCTCCCACCAGTCACTTTAACCTTCTGTGCCAGATGGATACAAGAGGGAACAGGGAAAAGCGGTCTCCCAGGCTGCCTCTGTACTCAACACAGAGAGCATGTCATGTCAAATCCTTCTCTCCACAGAGCCTCTCCTACAAAGACATCATTCCTGGCTGAGATTTCTGAATTTGCTGTAGCCTGGGAGTGTTGTGGGAAGCTGGCTTGTCCTGCCCAGCAATTCCTACAGTATGTTCAAGGGCTTATTGTCAGAGAAACTCCTGGCCGAGGTGGACACTTTGGCTGACCATAGCTGCACAAGATCAGCCACGCAGTACCCAGGGTCTTATATTCATTTTACTTGAATTAATTCCCTTCCAAGATACCTGTTAGACAGTTGTACTTTAAATTACCATCTTCTTGAAACAGCTCTGATAATATACAGTCTTTAGAACAGGGGACCCTAATCTAGACTTTCTGGATACAAACTGAAGGAGAACAAGTGTCCAACCTGTACATGACCTTTCCTCTCACTAATGTCTTGGTTGCTGCTTTCACTGGCACTTGGGGAGGCTTTGCAGCAACCTCCCCCTCCCTCATGTCTCTCACACATCACCCCTTACCTAGGATGCCTGAATTGACGAAGTGCACCAGGCTGAAATATTCAAGCAGGTCGTTCTGAATGGGGGTGCCTGAGATAAGGACTCGTCGAGGTGTTTTTAAGCTGTTGAGAGCCTGGTATGTTTGGTTTTCAGAGTTCTTCAGTCTGTGGCCCTTTGAAAAAAGATAAAAGAAATGAAGCTGATAAACTCAGTGGCCCTGATGGGAAGCAGCCTGAAGACCCTCCATCATCACTGATATACTGGATCTCCCACAAGGCATCTCACCACTTTTCCCATTCCTCGTAGTGGACTAAGTGTTGTACGTGCATTCAACTGCTGGAACAGACTTCCTTCAAAGGCAAGAATCTGGTGGGAAACCTCAAGCCATCACATGAGGAAACATGACATTACAAGCTTCCCAGACCAGGAACGTGAGTCACACCCAAGCAAGAGGTCCTGCCACGAAAATAACAATAACTGCATAGTCTAACTATAAGAACTGTTTCCTGTTCAAAGATGGGGACGTTTTCAGCTACCATCAGAGGCACTGAACTCTGGAGCAGTAACATTGCATTAGTCAAGGTCAAGATCACAAGCCACCTACATCCAGGATTGCCAGGCCTTTGCACACTAATAAAAAGAGGTTCTGCACCTCTTACAGGGTAATCTGGATACAGACCTCATTTCCCATGCCTGGGAAAAGCAACTTTATTAGCATCTGAGTGCTATGTTGTCAGACAAAGCATAAGTGATGAGATGCTTTTTACAAATGCCAGACCACTGCAAAGATGAGTATTTATTGGGAAACATATGGAAGACACAAGGCCAAGGACCTGCATTCCCAGCATCCCTAGCTGCTGGCCTCATCCCAGGGCACTAAGAGGTGTGGGCAGTCACAGACTCAGTAGATAAAAGGCGGATAGGAGTCATACTTGTGAGGATGCTCGCTCTTTTCAAGCTCCTCTCAGCACTGTCCCAGTAAATACAAAACCAAACCACTGGGTGGCACGGCTATTTAACAAATCCCCTCTACCTGGCAGCAGAGGACACCTCAACAGTAGCTGAGGGCCCCAGCTTGATCGTTTCAAGGAGGTAGAGGGCATTTGTTTTATTTTGTCCTTCAGAGCATCTCTGGCTCTCAGGACCTATAAGCACAAACAGGGAATGATAAACGAAAACACAACTCCATTTCAGCCATGTGAAAGCACAGCTTGACAACACAGGCTTGGCAAAGCTAAATCTAGCAGGTAGTGAGCAGGGAGTCAAGCCAGATCTGTCTCCTCTTGAACAAGCAGCACATGAGGTAACTCCTCACCCAGCTCCCCTACCCCTGCCCCAAGCAGGAGACTACAGAAAGGGGAAGAGGGTCCTGCCATGGGAATGCCCTTCAAACTCCCCCAACAAGCACAGAATAAGACGACCAGTTAAAGTGGCTGACAGCAACCAATGCTACACACAAGAGCATGCTAAATCACAGAATCATTTAGGTTGAGAAAGAACTCGGGACTCTCCAGTCCAACCTCCTGCTCAAAACAGAACCAAGTTAAAAATTACTGGGCAGAACATGAGGCCAGGCAAAAGAGAAGTACTTCTCACTTCAGCAAAGACAGACACAAACAAATGAAAATCAGATCAGTGAGCAAGGGCACTAACACCCCAATAGAGTAAAGCCTCTTTCAGAGTCAAGAGACAGGTAGTGGACCACCTCTATGCTACGTATTTCACACTGAGAGGGCCCTAGTAGGCGTCCCCAGCCTGCCAGGGACCTAAAAAGTGGCCACAGTTACCACCACCTGGATTTTCTTCATACCTCCACTTATGAAAACACCCTCTTGTTCAGGCTCACCCAGTATGGATAAGCTTGTTAGCCAGAGCCTCTCAAACACCAGAATGGGTGCTGTCCACAGCTAAACCTTGTTTCCCTCTGCTCTCCCCCCTTTTGTGAAAGCAGAGCCAGTTTTGCCCAGATCTCAAGAAAATATCAGGAACAGATTCTCCTTAAAGATTCCCCTGTACCTCATCACATATGACCAGCCCAACACTGCCCTTCTGTAATGCCTCAGCGTGGAGTCGGAAGGTCTCATAGGAGATGATCAGGATGGGTGAAGGCACTCGCAGGCCACGCTGGTTCATAAAGCCAACTGCAAATGGAAAAGAGGAAAAGGAAAGAGGGATGCGCAAAACTAACAAAAAAAGATTTGAAGCTCTGTAGTCAAAACTTCTGCCTTAAAAATCTGGGAGAACCTGTCTGTTTCAATTACTCTGTAGCATCCCTTCCACCCACCTATACCCATGCTCCTTTCCCCACAACTGTCCCCATTTTCATCCCCCTCCCACCTCTGTCCACTCCCTTCCTGGCTTCTGGCTGGAGCAAAGAAGAGGCACTGGGACTCTGGGACTGCCCTAACTTGAGCACATGACTGGACTTGGATTTTCCAAAAGATCAACTATTACTAAACATGCAAGGGCCTGATCTAAATGTGTTAAGTGGAGAGACTTTCATCAGTCTCCAGAGCCCTCATGACAGCTCAGAGATGTTCACATCAGCTGCTGTAGGCTTCTTCCAAAGCAAGATTTTGACCTAAGCCAGCCAATCACACCATTTGCAAATATTTCTGTACCTAGTTTATGGTCAATCTCTTCTTTGGAGCCTCCATCAATGGCCAGCGGCTGGATCCTTCCCCCGAGCCATTTCTCTACTTCATTGTACCAGTTTCTCACCAGGCTGGAGGGAGACACCACCATGGCTTTCTCGATTTCAGGCTTGCAGTCTGGACTTTGCCTGAGAAGCGTCCACATGAGTGTGATGCACTGCAGTGTTTTGCCCAGCCCCATTTCATCTGCCATGATACAGCCATGACTCCCAGGGATCCGCCGGCTCGTCACACAGTCCCAGAGGAATTTCACTCCCTGCCAAAAAATTGTTCTCTCAGAGCAGGATGGGGGCATCAGCAGAATGTCAACTTCATTACAGCTTCATTACCACAATGCACAGGACTGATACTACAACAAACAGCAAATCTGTGTAGCACATCCCTGGGGATTATACAGTGTTCCAACGAGACAGAGGGAAATCACCTGAGACAAAGCTAAAGTGCAGCCACATCTGGTTTGGAACAACATTACTGGTGCCAACATGTACCTCATAACATGCGCAAAATCTTAATACATTTTAACTGTACAATTATAACTGGCTTCATGACATGAATTCCCAGAAATTTCTACCCTTGGCTGCATTAGATAGGCCCAGGCCATCAGCTAACCTGCATCGATTGCTGCAAAGAGGTTAATCATCTTAACGCCCATTAGGTAGTTTTTTAAGAACACAGACTCAGAGTGAGCAGAATTGTTTATGCTGTCTGATTAACTCCCAGAATACCCTGAGCAGCCCTCATCACTTCTGCCTAGAAACACAACGACTCACCTGGGGACTCAAAGTTCAAAGCAGATTTAGCTTCAGAGAAGACACAGGGCTGAGGGTAAGGCCCATGTCACACGGTGGGAAAAGAGCTCAGCCCTGCATTAGGCTCTGATACATCACCAAGACAGACAAAAAGGGGGAAAAAAAAAAAAAAAAAAAAAAAAAAAAAGAAGAGACTCTGCAGAATGTTCCTCTATCATGTGATAAGTCAGAGAAAATCAAGGCATTGTGCTAGGAACATACAACCTCCCTGCATCATGTCAACAGAGCAGGGAGTGAGGGACACGACCTAAACATGCCTGGATGTATTCAACCCTCTGTGCTCCACTATTTAAGACTGGAAAATGGAGAACATTCACTTGCACTTTCAAGTCCTTTTCTTTCTTAGGCCATTAACAACAGGTTAATGATGTTTATTTAAGCCAGTTGAACAATTATGAAATACATTACCAACTAAAAGAGTGCATTTGGCTGGGGATCCAGTTAGGTACCCTCACAGCAACTAGACAAAAGACATGACAAAGGTGGAGCAAAGCTGCACAACAGTCTGGGGGCATCACCTCAATAAAGCAGCACAGGAATCTTAGCAGGCAAAGACTCACTAGTCAGACAAGACAGAGACTGCTTTATCAGAGATATCTAGCTGTCAAAAACCAGACAGCGTGCGTAGGACACCAACATAACTATCACTACTTGACAAAAGCACCAGCAGGCAGTATCTTACCCAAAAACAAAGTGCCTCTAGCTATGTACCCAGAGACAAGAATTACACAGGGTCACAGGTTCAGTACCAACTCTGAGATAAAAGTACAAGCTAGGAGCAGTCTACAGCACCCTCATAGGCATCTGAAGATCTCCCATGCAGGGACACATTCAGCTTGACCTGTTTAGCCTGCAAGATGAGCAATCACAGTTTCCATCTGTGCTGCCTCTAGGCTTAAACGATAATATATTGCATCTGTGATGAACTTCAAACTGGCCAGATACCTACATTAGATATTTGGTGATTAGTATCCACTAATCTTTGATATTGTGATACTGCACATATTTATGATATAAAATGCACTCTCCACTTGGCAAATTCCAAGTCTATGTAGGTCACGGACAGCTCACACCTATAAAGGCTGGCCTCCAAATAAAACACAATGAAGCAGGAATCTACTCCACACTGTGTTGGGAACCGTGGCACCAGAAAGAAGAGTTCAGCAGAGCTACATCTCCAGAGTTCAAGGTAAGTAAAGGCTGGACTTTCAGCCCTGACTCTGCAAGATCCCATCTCCCTGCAGAATCCGGTCTTTCCTAAGGTATCAGTGGCAACACAAGTCAGCCAACGTGCCTTCCTAGACCTGTGCAACCAGTGCACAACGCTCACAGAAATTCCCCAGTTTCTACTATCAGCTGACCTGACCTACAACCCCACAGAGAACACACTTGTGCATTAGGCAGCACCATGTTTAGACTGGGAGTGCTCTGACCCTGTTAGATCAGAGGCAAGAGAAGAGAAAGTTCTTACCCACAAGAAAGCAGTAAATTTCCACATTTTTAAAGACAAACAGGACTGTTGCAATACACACAGCACGTCCTCTTATTTAACACGGGATAGAGAATATTTGCAGCATTCAGGCCTCTAAGAGGATAGTTAAAATAAATATTTCACTCCGTATTTGCAACAGACTAGAGTCTGTTAGACTGTCACAGACTGTTAGTCTGTGAGGTCTATGTAGATCTCACAGTTGGTGGGTAACAATTCCAGCAAAGGAACTACAGCATTTTGAAATGCACCAAGTCCTCCAGCCATACCCTCAGCTCCCAATGGAAAACTTACTTCTCTCTGATGGGGCCGTAAAACACGGCTGAGAACAGGATCCACCACGACATGGACAGGTGCTTTGTCCCTGGAAGAGGCAGTCAAGAAATAAGACAGTGTGATTAACGAACTCAACACAGCGTATGTTTAGTTTTTTTTAAATCTCACTGCTACACTGAGGACTTCCCCAGTGGCATGAGGGAAGTACCGGAAAGCGAACAATGGCCAAAAAGAAAGTGAAAAATGGCTGAATTCAGTTTTGAGAATGAAGTCACAGGGGCCTGATCTACAAGCTAAAACATCAGTGAAACCATGTATTCAGGCTGTGGTTAAAATAGAGGCAGAATGTGGTTCAGAGACACAGTTAAAAAGTCGTTATTATTTTCCTTGTTTCAATAACAATATTGTAACTGCATTACTGGAGAGAGGAACGCCCTCCTCTGTCCACAAAGATCCAGCTGACAGACATTTTAAGTTATAACAACAGCACAGAAGGAACTACTTCAGAATAAAACCCATTAGGCAGCCTAACGTTTAACTGTCAATCATTTCCCTTTGCTTGTCCTTAGATGCTGATGTCTTCTGACTAACGATTAAGCCGTAAGATTTTCTAAGCAGCTTCTCCATGTGTGCATGCTCATTCCCTGCAAGAGGTTTAAATTTTTGATGAGTGGGAGACGAAACAGCCTGTGGAAGAACACAAACAACACAGCATGGGTACGTTGCTTCTTTGATTGCTACCATACTTGAACCAATTCAGAGGCAGAACACTGGGAATCAAACTTCCCTTGATGTTCAGACTCCAGCTCAGACACATTTGGGAAGAAAGCACATAAACCTACACGTTCAAGGAGGTCAGAGCAGAAGCATTTGTGTCAGGTGATGACTCACTTGTCTATTTTCAGCTGGTCGTGGGCACTCAGCAGTGGGGGTTCGTACAGAACCAGAGCTCCTTCCTCAAAAGGGTCATGGAGAGGACTCCTCAGCCCTGCCCGTTTGATACCCAGCGCACGTAAGCCCAGTGGCCCTGAAAGCAAACAAAGGTACAACTCAGAGAAAACTTCTTCCTGGAAAAAAGCAGAGCCTTGCAGAAGGGTCTGATTACGTTTAGGAACGGTGAATTAATTGGGTGCTGGAGCAGAGATGCAGGCTCAACCGGCGCAGGCAGCAAACCCACGCAGGGCGGTTGTTCGGTAGCACTCCGCTAGCACAGCACACAGCAGGTAGCTCTGTGTCAGGAAAGAATACAACAAAGGAGCAGAGGCAAAGATGGAGCAATAGCACATCCCGCCACATTGGGTGCACCAAAATGGACATGACTGCATGTAGCAGATGCCATGTATGCTGGCATGCAACAGTACAAGCTGTCTTGCAAGGTGATTGACAGCTTCATCCCAGACCTGCACCACTGGCATCCAACCATAAACAGGCACAATGTGTCCCTCAGCTATCTCTGGGCATTGGAACTCCTGCTAGCGCACAAAGGCTGTTGTTTTCGTTCTTTTGAAAGGTAAGTGGGATTCCAGAATGTACACCTCAGCAGCTCAATAAATACATTCCCACATACCTAGTATATACTGGGTCAAATCCTCGTTTGGATCACTTAACCCAGACTTTGGTTGCATCTTTTAGGCAAGGTCAGGAAGCAACCTTTAACAGTGACAAAGTTTTACTGCATCATAGCGCCATACTGCTATTACCTACTCTACGGTATTATTTTCTCTCTGATGAGCAATAATCGTAGATGTTTGGCCTTCGAGCCAATTTCTGTGAAAAGCAGAAACCAAGCATAAGTCCCTTCTCCTGGTATTATATTTTGATATCACAGTTTTGGAATGGCATTGAACACAAAAAGAACATGCATAGAAATCTCCTTTCCCATCAAAACTCAGGCAACTGTCCTCCCAGGACTGATTCTGCTTGGGAAAGATTCAAGCAGGGTCAGTCTACCCACTGCTTGCTAAGGCTCCTTGCAAAACAAGAGTGTATCACAAGCTGAGGCAACAGCACATGCACACCACAAAAAGAGCACATGAAACAGCCTCATCTCCCAATTAAGAGAGGAAGGCAACAGCCACAGAAAGCAGCTTCCCTGGCTACAGTTCTGTTTCAGCCTCCTGACAAATCTGCTTTTCCACAAGCTAACTCTGTCAAACTCTTTTGCGGCCTGACATTTCATAGTCAGTGTCTGCTTACAGTCATATTTTTATAACTAAAGTTTGAGTAAAACTGGTTGATCTGCATTTTAATTTTACAGCTGGAGGGTGAAGGGGAAGAAGGGGACAAGAACAGGCCCATTCGTTTCTGAGATCTTGTGTTTCACTGATTAGAACCAGCTGAGACTTTGAACTTCAAAATTGCCTTGCTTTGAAGATCACCTTGAGATTCAACACACCAAACCAGAAAGAAAACTGGCACATACTACCTTTTTCACCTACAGCCTTCTGTCTGTTAGTATCATTAGGGTATTATTTAAATGGTAAACCATCATCACTTGGAATTCATCTTGCTTTTTTATTTGCAATATGGTGTACAATCTTCTGGCACTACATCAAATACATAGCAGTAAGAATACAAAATCCAATTCTGAAATGCAGGATTACTAAACGCTAGTAAGAAATATGAAGACTTTGCTAACGTGCCAGTATTATTCTTTCAAAATTAAGTCAGGATTTCTGGAACACATGCATCAGTGCAAAAAATAACAATAATCCCAACAGATATATTTGACAGGCCTGAGCATCATCTGTTTTACCCCAGTCAGTCAACACAAACAATCCTTACGCCTCCTCATCTTACCTTTATAATTTGGAATTGGGACTTTGAAGGGTTTGGACAAAATGCTGCGGATAAAAGCCTCCTAGGAATTCAGAAAGAAAACATGCTTAAGAAGTCTGAAATCAGAGACTGCTCAAGAAGGCAAACCCAGGACATTTTTTAAGAACCCAATTTTGCCAAGTGCTGAGAGTCTCTCTATTCAATTTATTCAAGCTTCAACTCCAACTATTTTCAAGAATATCCAAAAGGGAGGAAGTAACAAACCAGCACAGTTCCCCCCATCAACTCTGCTTTTCAAAACTATTCTCCTTTGGGTTCTCTAATGCATGCAGTCAATTTTTCATAACTCCTATCTTCTCAAATCCACTGGCATTATTCACTTCTTTAAATGCCTTTGCTTCCCTCTGCCTTGGTAATTCAGTCAGGCAATTCATTCCCTGTAAAGGAGCTGGGTTACCACTGTAGAAACATCCATGCCAGACCAGCGAGTGCCCAGCCAGTAAAGCACCCAGTCTCCAGCTGTGGAAGCCCAGAGAGAACCAAGCAAGCAGACTGCACTTGAGCCACCTGTGTGGAAAGCTTCCCACAACCCTGGGCACTGTCCTTCGCTTAGGCCCCATAGAACTCTCTTATTCAGGATTTCCATTATAGAAAGTTCTCCCACCACATCTCCTTCAACGTTAAATGGTTGGAGCTAGAAAAAGGTCTCTTCTAAAGACTCTGTGTGTGTGTTACTTCCATAACAACTCTGATTAAACGGGTCCATGGAAGCATTTGTACTCCCTTGATGAATGAGCTCCATATGCAACCCACCTGCTATGGTGTGCTAGCAGTAACACCCACTTACATGTTGACTGCTATCCAGGCAGTGAGGTCTATTGGTCAACTGAGCCAAGGGTTTCCGGAAAGGTGACCTGTAACATTCTCCACTCTCCGTCTCACTGACAGGTTTCTGTCTCTTCCGAGTCTGAAAAACAAAATCAAGACAAAACAACTCGGGCAGCTGGTGAGACCAGAAGACAGATGCATCGCTGTCACACTCAGTAAGCATCTAACCACGCAGACAATCCATCCGGCCAGCTGAGTATCTCTGAACAGACACAATCGTTACTCACCCCCACTTGCAAAAGGACAGAGCCAGCAACACCACCAAGGTCACCATGCCCTATAGTTTAACATGCATGAAGGCTCGAATAGTCTCCTAGTTAAGAAAATAGCTACTACTTTCTAACCTGTAAAAGGGCAGGTTTCTCTGCACTAAGATTTGTCCTGTCCTCCGCCCCCACCCAAAAAGCATGTCCTGGTTTGGGCTAAATCAGAACTAGTTCTGTTTTAGTGCTTTAACTTTTCAGTTAAGTCTCATCTAACTAATGGCATTTTCTGAAACAGCAGCCTGTTTTTCCAGACAGTGACTGCTTCTAGAAGTGATAATGCCTGATGTTCATAGTTCGTACCAAGGAATGGTATGCAGAGAGGCCCTTGCTTATACTTGTTCTTATGGCGACCAAGGTCACTGCTAAATCTTGTACTCCATATTGGGGTGCCAGGAGTGAAAAGGGTCACACCTACAGGGAGGAGCGAACTGGACAGGTGACCCAAACCTGACCAACAGAGTATTCCATCCCATATAGGTCATATTCAGTATAAAGCTGAGAGATCATGAGGGTCTCGCTCTTTTCGTCTCTTCCTCTCTTCTTCGATGGCCAACATCTGAGGAGGACTCTGTCTGTCGTCGATCCCAATCCGTGCATCTCTGAGGCCAGTTCCTGCATCCCATCCCTGTCTGCTGCCCAGTCCAGCCTGGGACTGCGCCAGTGCCAGCCCTGCAGTGTGGTGGTGACGTACTGTCATCAGGGTGGAGGGAGTTTGGTTCAGCATTGGTTTTGTATATATTTGTACATATTGTATACATTTAATTATTTCCTTATTCTTATTATTATCTTTTCTTTTATTGTTATGGTTTCATTAAAGCTGTTTTAGTTTTTTTTTTTCCAAACCGTAAAGTCTCTCTCTCTTGTTCTCTTTCCTTTTCCCTTTTGGGAGGGGAGAGGGGTTAGTAGAGAGCGTCTGTCACTCGTTAGTGGCCGGCCCAGCCTCAAACCGTGACAAAGCAGAAGAAAAACAAACGGTCAATAGCATAGAACAAACTACATGAAAATCCCCAGAGGCTCCCACAGCATTTGCTGTTACACAGGTGAAAGGCCTCACACCAAAACCTAAATTTAAGACACTTAGCAAGGCATGAAGATAAGTCACTGATGTTTCCTGATTTAACACAGTTCTCTTCAGACTGAGCCACGGTTTTAACCACCTGCTGGCAAAGAAAAAGGGATTTGACACAGAAAGCACTAGGTGAGACTCTGACCTCCGTGACATAGAACGTAGCATCATAACATTCTGTTTTGTCTCAATCATCTACCTATTCCTAGTTACCAACCCTCTCACAAAACACTTAGGAGCTCTCCCAAGGATAGTTTTTGCTATAACCACGAACCATCACCTGTACACGACAATGCTCTTCTACCAACTACATGCCCAGACACAGGTTTTCCCCAGCTGATGAAAACAGAATAAACTTGGGGCCTGATCCCCAGTCCTCAGATGGCGGGGGCAATAACAACTTCCGATCAGGCACCAGGTACCGACTTGGGCCGGGCGGGCCCGCCGCCCCCCCGCACCGCCGTCCCCTGCCCACGGCTGGAAAGACTCCGGGCGTCACACAGGGCCGAGCCCGCCCCAACCCCGCCGGGGCGAGGCC